ATGGAATCAGGTAAGATATTTCCAAACTCTTGAGAAAAATTGATTTTTTTACAGTTGAGTTTAGAACGGTTTACTTTAAGTTTAAAGCAATAGCACTTAGATTTATAATACCGCTTTACACTGTTTCACAGCCCTCTCTAAGTGGTTCACAGAGTCAGCCTCTTGACCCCCAACAATCTGGGTCCTCATTTTACCCACCTTGGAAGGACGGAAGGCTGAGTCAACCTTGAGCCTGGTGAGATTTGAAGGGCCAGATTGCAGGCAGCTGGCAGTCAGCAGAATTAGCCTGCAGTACTGCACTCTAACCACTGCACCACCAACTGCTTGAAGCAGTTGTTTCCACGCGTTCCAATTAAAGCTAATCGTATTTGGACAGAACTAACAATGAGCAACAGGGACTTATTCATCAGGGAGATTAAAAACGGAATATGGCAGGCCAAATTTCATTCTAAAATGCAAATTAAAAATTCAGCTAAATGTATATGTCTTCCTGGTCCTCTGCTGCCATTATTTTAATGCTATTGTCGAAAGCGAAGCTGGTTTGCGGCTCATTTGAACCACAAATACGACAGCTGTTGTTTTAACTTTAGCACTTCAGTGGGAGGAAGCGCGACAGAAGTATCTCAAATAACATTTACGCCATCGCCAAAGGCATCCCACCTGGTAGTAGCTTATCAGTTCTTCCAGTTCATCCGCGTGAATGACGATGTGCAAGCCGCATATCTGCGCAAGGCGGAACTCCTTTCCATTCACGCAGGCAAAACACACCTGCAAACAAACGAAGAGACTCTTAGCAAAAAGTGAACAGTCAAACCCAGTGATTCAGTTACTACAGTCTGTTGCACAGTCAGCCAGATGTTCAGACTGGATTTGGCATTTTTGTCCACCTACCGAGCCTGTTGTGGCCCAGCAGGAGCTGTTGGAGCTGCCGACAGACTCCGATAGCGAGGGACCCTATGAGTCGGCTCTGGAAGATGTGGAAGACCCTGGGCAGGTTCAGACTCCGAGCAGGGACCAGAGAGGCTGGTTGGCCACCAGGAGGTGCCTGAGGCATGGAGCAGCGGTGAAAGTCAAAGGAAGTTTGTCCCTGATGTCAGGCACTGGAGCAGTGGGGAGGACCAAAGGGAGTTGGTCCCTGACATCAGGCAGAGAAGGGCGGAGAAGCGAAGGCAGCAATTACGGAGTCAGGCTCATAGGAGATAGTCAGGCCCAGGTGATTGTGATTTGGCTCCTCCCAAGAGAGTATATAAGAAGAGACTTTGGGAGGAGACCTTTTGCAGGACACAAC